AGCATATCTGTTGAAAAGAAAAGGAAGAGGTAAGCGAAATAAATAAAATCAACAAAAGATAACATCAACGACGAGGTCTGGCTCCAATTTTCCGTCCAAGGCTGCCATTTCAACGAGATGGTTCTTCCGGAGGCGATCTCCCGCGTGGAACAAGGATCCGGACTACTACTTTAGCTCGACTCCAAGTATCCGTTTACCCTGAAGCTCTCGGGCTTCCGCCATGCAGAAGATAGAAGTAGTAGGTATCATTTTGTCGCTGCAGCTCCGTCCAAAAAAGGTCTGTTTGAAAAATCTTTTCTCCGTCTCTGGCCATCGTCAATCCACTGCGCAGCCACTTGCCATGAATTGAAGTATCGATGAGTATATAGTCCAGGGAATTTGACTCAGAAATTTTTTACACTACGGGGTACGTCTTAGTGAGAAGAAAATTCATTTTAGGAATTAAAGTGGAATATTTCTGGAGAAGAAAGAAGTTACTTGTGCTATCTCTTGAGTTCGGTCCTCAGCAGACCTCAAGTGGCGCCATCTCTGGGGTTTTCTCGTAAGTAGGCTCGATTTTTGAAGTAGGGCTTAACTGAACAGATCATGTGGCTCCATCTATCAGCGGATGTAGGAGGCTGGCCTGGAAAGGAGATTTAGACTTCGTGCAGGGTCTCGAGTGCTGCCATCTGTTGGGAAGTATTGAAGTTGTCTAGTTTTCTTCGGCAAACTTCATGAATGTCATCGTGGCTTGAAAACCGACTTTTAATTTGTCTGAAGGGCTCTTTGCAGCTTGAATTTTTCCGATTAAATGGGTAACTGTAGTAAGAAATTGCTTGATTCTATCATCACGAATCCAAGTCAATACTTCTTCCATCTCTTCGGGCGGTGGTTTTAAAGATTTCTTTAATTTAAAACTGTAGGTGGGAAATATTTTTTCTGCTTTTTGCTGTACTGAAACTTCAGCTAGATTAGATTCCATGAGCGTTTGGGGAAAGTTTTCCCGAGTTGAAATTAGGAATTTCTTGAGTTGGAACTTCGGTTTTAGGTACTAGCTTCTTGGTTTCAAATCTTTTCTAATAGTAACTACACACCTTGTAGCTACTAACGTGGGGTCCTCCGCAAAAAATACAGGTAGGTTTTTACTCCTTCGGGCATTTGACATAAGTTGCTGCGGTGCGGTAATCCGCATTTGACACACCTTTCTGGCTTATTACAGCATGTTTGTGAATGCCCGTATTCTTGGCATCGATAACATTGCACAGGTCGGCTGCGTGGTTTGAAGTTTTCGATAGTACAATTGAAACTGAACATATTGGATAGATTGCGAATTAACTGTCCTTCGGCTATTTTCTTCAGCTCGAGGAGAAATATCGGCAATTTAGTGATGTTCTCTGGTCTATTTTTGGTGAATTGTTTTACCTTCAGGATTGGGTATTTGCGATTAAGTAAGTCTTCATATATGGCGTTCACCTTAACGGTGGCTGGTACATCTTTTAAAATAACTCTCAGTGGTTTGTAGCTGTCTAACAGAAAAGAGTGAAAAGGGATTTCTCTTCCAATTAAAGCTTTACAGCAGCTTCGGTAATCTGCAGATGATTTTGTATAAACATAGATAGAATTTGCTTTCAATGAAGATTCAAATTCCTCTTTGCAGAATTGCTTAAAAAGTTCATCCAATTCTGACCAATCAGCGACGTCTTGAGAGAGCACTATGGGTGGGGGGGACTTCACGTTTTGCTTCGTCATCGGCTTCTGGGATTTGATGGTATGTGTATTTAAATTACGGCAAAGTACACTAGGGCTATCTGCCTAAGGGGAGGGAGGACTTTCTAAGGGAAACTGGCTCGTATACACGTTACACATGGGGAAAACCACGAAAACACCCATGCAGCCAGCCCGTTCGCGGGATTCGAACCTCGGACCGAACTACCAGTGTTCAGCGACTTTACCCCTCGACCGCTTCTGAGATTTGATTTAACAGCACTTGAAATCTTTTTTCCTGAACAATTTCTATCGGTTTTGGGTTTTCTTTAATTTTAGCCGTTTTCCTGGGTGATTTCCAATCATTATTATCATTTTTGGAGGATGGGGGAGGCATCATAACTCTAGTAATTTTAGCTTTGGGTGAATCGATGCGAATTCTTTTCCTTTCTGAATTAGGCATTGTTTCATCTTCTAGGGTTGTTGTGTCAGGTTTCTTACTAAGTTTATCTATTCCATAAGCCTTGATAAGTTCCATAAGCGCTTGCATGTTTTCTTCTTCCGATGCTTATGTTTCATTGCGCGATACAGTAACTTCAGGATGAGTATCTGGGGCTGCTGATAGTTTTTTTCTTTTTCGTGGTCTTCTTAGGTTTAGATGGTTTGTCCGAATTCGGGCTTTTTATAAAATCCAATCTTCTAGAGGTGGTCGGCATCGAAGCGGTCGAATATTCTGAATCAGCGTTATCGCTATAGTCATCATCATCTTGGCTTATAGTCCCGTATGGGCGCCAGCTAATTTAACAGCTAGGGATATGAGCGCCAGCTAATTTAACAGCTAGGGATATGAGCGCCAGCTAATTTAACAGCTGGCGCGCTTTTGAAAAATTTGGCGAAGAAGGTGATCAGCAGGAAGCCAAGCGCAGCAACCCAAGCAGAGAAATCTTCACGGGAAGAAGTTTCCCTACTACCAGAAAGAGCCAAAAAGCGCAGTTCAACCATTCGGCCTCCAAGGTCACTCTGCTGGGTCAACAACTCTCTGCTGATGAAAAAAGGGGCGAACTGGCCTCGCTCGAAGCGCAAATCGAGCATGTGGAGCTTCCCATCCAACGACTTTTCCTCTCTCCTAAATAATTCGCGGTAGAACCTTTCCCCGCTATAGACGTCGAAGTAACCGGGGTCCTGGTTCAGCAAAACTGCACGTGGCCCCGTTATCTGAACATGTGGTGGATACATTTCAAGTGTTCCATTGCTTGAGCGAAAGAATTTCGGGGTGCAGTAATCCTCTGATAAGGGATTCTGAGAATGAATTCCAAGCCGACGGTTGGCATGAGAAAATTCTTCATAACGAGTGAATATTTACGAATTTAGGACATTAAAAATTAAACTATTACATAACAATATAATTCATTAAAAATGTCAGCACAATATAAATTGTTTCTTCAGCAGCATTTTAAGTATACACACTCATTATCCAGATTGAGTTTCAATTACTATTGATTTACCTTACCACCAGTCAAAAAATATGTATTCGATAAATTTAATAGAAAGAGGGGTAAAAAAATTGTTACCTTAAGTTTAAAAAAAATTAACACACCAAAAGTGCAGCAAACAAAACTTTCAAATAATTAAAGTCAAAAGTTAAACAATCTAAGGGTCAAAACAAAAAGTACAAAAACCAAGTAAACTTAAGTCCCTAAACTCAAATTAAAAAACTAAACAACTTCAACTTAAGAAAACTTTTAAGCAACTAGACCTAAATTTAAGGTTTACAAAAGTTACAGTTTAAACTTACAACCAACTTTAAACAACTAAAGCAAAAATTAATAACTTCAATTACTGATCAAACTGAATTAAGTAAGCAAAACTTAAGCTTGAAAATAGTAACAATTAATACATAACAATATTAAGTTTAACCGCTTTTTCTATTTACATTTGAATATATATAGTATACATCAACTTCATCTAAATCCGTCTTAGCGAGGGCAACATATATGTAATCTGTAGATATGTTAATTTACCGAATGTGCGATGGAACTAAAATACAGTCCTAAGAAATGAGCGCTTACCATGCGGCACCACAAACGTAATTAGCTTGTTCGTCGCAGAAAATCCTCCCCGAATGCATTTTGCAATACGCTAAGTGCGGTTCATAAGTGCTTTAATGCAATTCATCAATCGACGCAGATTTTAAACAGCAAATTTTCTTCTAATAATTTTTTTTTAAAATATAAAAAGACAAATAAATAATAATATATTTAGCAAAGTACTATATTATAAGAAAATTTATATTATTGAAAATGTACATATATATATGTAATATTTTGGCAGTCGGGCACATGAATAAAGCTTGGAAGAAATGATGACACAGAAGAAGTTAACTTTATATCTCCATCTCTTTATTCAATTGAACTAACTAACTATAGGTTTGGGCTGCCCTGCTCCGGGAACTAAATCCCACTACAGGTCTACTCTCCCTTTGGGTACGTCGTGGAGGTTCAACCTCCACTATTACCCTCCAGAAGAGCAGCGCACCACCTGGGGACAGGCCCCAGGCAGCACCGGTCGTCTAATGCTCCTACCAGTCGCTTGGGCGAGCCAGTCGCAGCGGGACATTACCCAGCGACCCCGGGGGATACCCCGGGTTACTAGAACCACGCCGCGCTAGGACGTGCCAGACTCCGGGGCCGGCCAATAAGTGACCTTTCCCAGAGCCTTCAGAACCACCAAGTTCATAAATTTTATACCCCCGTGGCCGAGACTGCCTAGGTACAGATCCTAGCCAGTAGCTTCGCAGAGTTCTCTACGTCGACCCCCGGGGGGATTATTCAATTGAAAGGCATTCTATCACTCTTTACTAAATAAAGTTAAATTTAAATTCACTGCGTCATAATTCGAACAAAGAAAGGGAGAAGGGCAGTAGCACAGATCTTAGTAGCAGAGGGTGAAAGCGATCTCTCTCTAACGCAAAATGGCCAATTCTTAGTATTTATAGACGTGGTTACGTAATAGGCTGGAATGTTCTCGAAAGTACTGGTCTAGGGGGAAGATCCTAAATTGCAGAAAGTTAATTAAAGGTTGCTGGTTCGCATAAACCAAAGCCGTCCTATTTTTTATATTTTACATATATATATAAACACAAACAGAAAAATAATAAAATAGGCTAAAGCTTAAAAACAAAATTGTTTCAATTTAATTGTAAAGTTAGATACTTTAAGTTTATATGTATATATATATATATATATACAACTTTACTTATAATATTATATATTTCATATCTATCTTTTTAAAGCATGTCATTGTATTAATTCTTGCAGATATCCCAATTGTCAACATATCCTTTAGTTCCAGCATGGCTGATTCAAAAGTAAAAGAAGGGAATGATGTTTATTTGGAATGCTCCATCCGAGCGAATCCGTGGGTTTTCGAAATTGAGTGGCATTTCGAGGACAGAGCCCTTACCACAAATAGGACAGCGGGTATCATCATTAGTAACCAGACCCTGCTGCTACAGAATGTAGGGAAAAAACACCGTGGGAGATACCGTTGCTTAGCAACAAACACCGTAGGCCAAGGACGCAGTAACTATCAGTATTTACTCGTTCAATGTAAGTTCAAATCCTCACTTTCACTACTTTTTCTATCATTTTAAGAATGATTCCGAGTCTCAAACTTTCTTCAAAACTTACTTTGGAAGTCTTTATAATAAAGGGAGCTTCTATTTCTACGTTTTTCGTAACTTTATTTTTTTAATATTTGCTGTATTAATATTTTGATGCATTTATTAACAGTAAATTCAGTAAAACTCATTCATCATCATACTTGCTTGTTATGGTTCAATTTACTATTCCTGTTAGAAAAAAGGAAAGTTGTACCCTTGTTACAAAAGAAAATTTCAGTCTTAATGAGATGGTAATAGAATTTCAAAATGCTGAAATCTTAATTAATTAAATATGCAGTTCTGCACTTTTAGTAAATCAAGTTTTGTTTAAATATGAGACTGTCGAGTAAATCGCTGATTTATTGATTTTAATTGTTAATTATATTTTACCACGAATGTATTTATTAACGAACTCTTAATTGATGAAATTCGTCATCAGTCCAAAACATTACGCTTAATTCTGAAATGAAAGGTATTTATTATAAATGAAAAATGATTCCACCAATCGAAGGTTAATCTTGAAATTAAAGACTGGGCCATCAGCGTCCAGGCGTGTCTGTTCGGGGTGTAGAATAATGCATGAAAACTCATATATCAGTTGGCTCTTATATCATATATTCACATATCAATACTGTGAACACATTTATTAATTTTCATTAGAAGCTGAACTCTGAGTTACTGCAATCATATTTCATAATTACACAATAAAATCCGACTTTTGGAGAATTCACTCCATTTTGATTTTATATATTGCTGTTTGTCTTTCATTAAATATTCAGCTCTCTTTTAACAGAAGTCATAGATTTTTAAAGTCTCTCTTAGAAATCAAACGACCGTTATCTATTAGCTGTAATTTGGCTTCACTCGACTTCAACTAGAATACTCTGTAACTTAATTTTAAAAGCTTTAATATGAGTAACCAGTTTTGATTGCACCAGCTAACACAACTTCTAACGGCTAACTCCGTTATACACTTCCACCGATGAGACATAATACATGCAAAACTTTCGGTGAATTGCATCAACAAATAATATAAAGAGAAGATACAGACAAATTATATGTATCGGCCTTCAAAATGATGGTTACACCCGGCAAAACACATTTAGCAGCGTTCAGAGAACTTCTGGAAACTGTGAACAAAGGCCTGGTAGAAACCGAACTGAAAGTCGCTTTGTTTCGCTAACGGACACAAACGATGTGCATTTCGATTTATTCTTCTGGCTAGAAAATAGAAGGGAGTCCACAATCACTATATCAAGGAAGCAGAATGAATGATACAGAACATATAAGGCACCCTGAAGGAACATGTTGCGTACAGGAACATTCTCTGCCTGAACATCTACAGCTCTGACCAACTATGCTGGACACGTCTCAGCATCCATTTCAAAACTCGATTACAAAAATGCAATATTCACGGTTTGATCAGCATAAAATAATACCTTATATATGCTGCTATTGTCGCTATAGAAGGTAATCATTATTATCTTATCTTGATCACTAAATCTCATTCTATGATGATAGTTCTCGGATAGGGTAAATCTCGAGTGTGCGATTTAATGAAATTTGCAGAATCTTTCGCAAATTTTGCTTTCGGTTTCGCCTGTCAATTTTTGTGGCACAAACTGAGAGCAGAAGCTTTTTTATCCAAATCATTGTGGACGATGTTGCGTATCGTGTACTTGTTAATGTCAAATCAAGGTGGTAACGAATTATGATCCACTACATTTTAGCTGAGCTCCACCGTAAATGCTTTACAATTTTTCAGGAAACAGAAAAAAATCACGATGACGTCGCCATGATTCAAACTCTGGATCTTCTGATTTCTGTCCGGACGTGCTTTCAATTACATCATAAAGGCACACGGTAGAAAAGGAGAAAACATTTTACAACTGGTCATATAGGTATATCCTCCAATAGTATATCCAGAGATATACTATTGGAGAATAGCATCCAATATACTATTGGAGATATACTACTGGCAATAGAGAATGGATTCTAAGGCACTCTTTCCTGGCAAAAGGCAGGTGCTAAGTTAAGGGAAGCTATGATACGCGAAACACTGCTAAAGTTTAACAATAAATGTCAGAGCCATCAAATGCTATAAAAAAGTCACTCGTTGAAGGCATCGAAAGTGTATGCTGCTGGAATCTAGTTGAGACTAAATATGTTCAGAGAGTAGCGAAACTAAGACAACAGGTAAATTTGCTAATATGCAGATAGGGCGAAAGGTAAGCTCTAAGCGAGTAGGTAGAGAGTATAGTGGATATATAGTTGTGAGCTGTGAGTAACGTATAATACTCAAAACTTTTGGGATAAGACTTTAGTTCAGAGTGACAAAAGTGAAAGTTAATTTAGAGAAATAAAATTTTAAATAGGTCAGCGATATAGCTATAACTGTGTGGTATGTTTTACATTACTTACGTGGTCCTGAATATATACATATATATTTGCTAATGTTCGAACACATTGCTTACTAAGCATTCGTAGGGAATTTCCAAACCCTTGCTCATTTAACCACCTCTTCACTAAGAACGCTACTCAGTGTCCAGCACAGAAAAAGATTAGGAAATTAAAATTCGAAGATTCTGTACAGAGATAGATCTCAGCAAACATTCTAATAATAAACATACTTAGGTTCAATCTAAGACTAGCAAAGCATTTTAAAGTTGTAACACAATAATCAAAAACACAAAACTGTACTGATTAAGGTACATGATAAAGCTAAAACGTTTTATGTGTAACCTACAATTTAGTGAGATGCATATGGGATGTGTATGCAAGCTTATATTTCATGCATCTCATACATGATAAAAAGTAATGAGAGGACGAAAACACTTACAGCAATGTTTGCGTTCTAAGACAGATGCAAAGAGTAAAAACATAATATATATATGCAATATTTTGCAGCAGTCGTGGCACATGAACGATGAAGCTTGGCATTGCTGTGGCTGAGTGTCAAGGCGACATCAAATAACGACACAATTGGATTTAAATTTATAGCTCCATGCTTTATTTCAATTCAAGAAGCAGATCAATATTGTAAGATGAAATATGTGAAAGCAAACTTCTAAATTTAATATACTATAACATATTTTATTTTCTATTTCATTTGGGGACTTCATCTATCTGTCCTAAAAATAGCGCTTAAGTGTAAACTCCGTCATCAAAATAAATCATACGATCTTACGTAACTATTAATGCAGATGCCTCTTGACCAATCACCACATTGCAAACCAAAACGTTTCTCTTCGCGTGCTTCCATCTTGCATAACTACTCACTTCAGCTTTTGCTCTCTCCTGTGTTAAGATGTAATTTCGCTGGCTTGCTTTCTATCTCTACAATATCAAAAATGTAAATCTTCTGTGGAAAGGCACGACTGCAGTGTCAAGTGATTGTGGCCGCAAATATCAATTGCGAATAAAAATGGATTTAAAACTGCCGCGACTGCCAAGTTCTTTAGATACTACGCAATCAAAATTCTTCTTCAATATAAATCTAAGCATGCATCGACACTGCTACGGCTTTTTCCTTGTGCTTTTATTATTGTAGGCACTGAAGAACTACTGAAATCGTAAAACGATTGTGCAGGTGGAAAAGCACATAATTTTCATGAAATGAAAATTTAAACTCCAAAACAGTAAACAGTTCAGAATTGCATAAAATGAAAAGCATAAAAGCTAATAACTAGACTGTGAACTTTCAAGTTTGGCCCTTTGTTTTCCGTTGAATTAAATATAACATTCACCGCTGTCGACAAGAGACGTATATGCAGAAAAATAACGGAGATAGTGCAGAATAGCCCACTGCTTGCAGCGTTTTTAAGAATTGCACATACTCGGTATCTATGTACACATCGACCTATTTTCACTTAAAAAACATCCCAGAATTGCACAAAAATGGCATTGTACACTCCCTTGACTTTATCCATGTACACATCGACCTATTTTCACTTAAAAAGGTCAAGGAAAATTGACAAAAATCCAATTCTTCTTACTCTTGTAAAAAGCGCCAAACAGATAAGTGGGCGATTCTGCACTTTTGCGAAAGTAACGTTCTGTGAAAAAGGAACATGCAGATATAAAATTCTTAGTGAGTACTATATTTTTAATACATCCTTACATTTATTTAGAACTAAAACAGAAAAGAAATGATAATTTTTAAAATTTTTTAATTAAAATAATAAATTCAAACTTTGCATTTTAATCAGAAATTCAAAAAGAAATTCTACAGTTGAATGCGATATCTGCTTATTTAGAGAACATATGACAAATTACAATTTAACTTAAATCTTTGTCACGATACGGTAAGTATACTGGTGCATATAACACGTACTTCAGACATTTACAGATATTTGCAAAATTCGTAATTATAACTCCATAACGTAAGAATGTTAAAGATGCAATAATCAGTGTATTAGTCTTAGCTTTTACGATCAGGATTTAGGTATTAAATGCATTACAAATTTGAATATATTCAACTAATATTTTTTATCTTTAGCAGAATAATAACCATAGTATGTAATAACAAAATTCAGTAAGTAGTCGCAATAATTGAAAACCATGTTTTATTAATCTTTATCTCTAAAATGTGTTATTTTTAACTAGAAACTGACTTCCGTAATTTATACTACCACGCATCAAGACATTCTGAGGGAAAGAAAAAATATTTGGAAGAAAGCCTTAAAACAGAATAAACTAGTTGAGATGTTAACTGTTACTGAGCAATCTCAAGAAAATCTTTTATTTAGTTCTAAATTCACATGTTTTTACCTTTCGATTAAGCGCAAAATTAAAAGCATTTTACTGTCTTTATTTTTTTGCTGTTGTACTAGTGACTAAAATACCATTTCCTCTCGTTCTAAATATTTAATTCACAGGAGAATGTTATTGATTTTTCCCCACTTCTGACAATGCGTTTTTCAACAGCATTCTTTTACAATTTATCCT